GCTAACCAGTATTTTCGCCCCTTCCCAAAATTACTTCAACGGAAGGTTTCCAGATGGATATGCGGAGCAAATCCATCCGGCGGAGTCAGGTTACGTTGATATATGATTGGCCGAATTTAGGTGTTCATGCTGATGTAGAACTAACTGGCCTGCAGAAGATAACGGAAAAAAAAACACAGTTTCTAAGACAGGATTTTTTTTTTAAATGCAAATGTTTTAAATTTTGGGACAATATGGTCTGATAAAAAGTACATTTATATACATGTTTAAGCCAGAATGATTTGACATTTAAATAGGACTTCCCTACAACTTTAAAGACATACCTGAAGCATTTCCTGGTACTTTGAAAATGACATACTTTGGCCGTCCGAGGCCAATAATGGCGGTGCCCATGTTGTAGGTGTTCCCTTCTCTGTCGTAGTGAGGGTGAGCCGTAGCCAGGTTTACAGCTATGTGGTTCCTGTAGTTTTCCTGGAGATTCCCAGAAATGATGCCCATCAGCATCATGACAATAGTTGGAAGATCTTCTACCGATGGAAGATGGAGAAACTCACCCTGCTCACAGTTTCCAGGGAGTTTGGGTCCACTTGGTTGATGTAGTTGACCTCAGAGGAGGCGTAGTAGTCCTTACCATAACGGATGATGTTGATCAGGTTGTTGTCTGTGAAATCCGGGATGATGTTGCGGAAATGTGTCATTGCCCTGAAGACGGAGGTTAGAAAACACATCTGGGATGAGAGAAGGAATCTGTCACAGACCTGGAAACTAGAACTAAAACTGCTGCTCCTCTGCGGCATTTTTAAATGTTTACTAGCATAAAAAATCATGCTAATAAATAAAGTTAAGCTCTATTTGTAAGGGATGTAGGATGTAGTTGATGACAAACACGAACTTGCCCTATAAAGGGTAAAAGATTCAGATGAATTTATAAAACATTTCTGTGCAAACTTGTATCTGAACGCGTTAAAGTGACTTTAACGTTTTCTCAGCGTCTCTGATTTTTTGCGTCTGGGCGAAGTTCACCTGGCAAAGATGTTTTTGCAGGGATCGGGATAAACCATGGTCCCAAACTCAGACACCACGATCCTGTCGGCCTTGATGTTCCTCTTATACGTCTCGCTCTTCAGATATTTGCTTCTGTAAGTCACCTCCCCTGAAACGGCGACATTTATAGAGTATTGCAGTGAAACGGCGATCCGCCATGGTTACAGCATCCCGGCGGAGACTCACCGCCGCTGAAGGTGAAGCTGTGAATCAGCGACAGACCGTCAAACCAGTGGTTGTACTCGGAGTTTCCCACTGAGAAAAGCCCGGGGCCGTTCCTCAGCAACGTGCCCTGGAGCCACGAGGGGACGCTTCCTGCAGGTCAAAGGTCAGAGACACAGTTTTCACATATCTTTTTATTTATCTTGAAATTGTTAATGAATCTTGTTGTTGTTGCTGACTGGAGTCAAAGAAACGTTGAACTTCTTGTTTTTTCATAAAACCGAATCCACAGGTGCAGTAATTTCCTGGAGTGATGACCTCATTTTTATGTCAGATATCAGCCAAAATGAGGATAGTTGCTCATCTTTTTTCTACATCTGCGACTCAAATGACTCCCCGTACAACAGCAGCCATTCAAAATGGCCGCCCTTAGCTGAATGGCAGCCCACTTGCCTGCAACTCCCAGCAAAATCCCCTCCAACTTCCAGCCGCTATATTTATCTACTCTGACTCCATCCTTTCACTGAATTACAGGGTCTGACCAGCAGATGGCGCTTCTCTTTAGATCTTAATGTCCACAAATCATGACAAAAAGAACATTTTTGTACAAACATTGATGTTTAAAAAGGAATTGAAGGTAGACCAGCCAAGGACCAGCAAAGGTCATTTTTGCAGTGTGCTGCACTGGCGCATTATTTAGCTTAAAATAAGCAATTTTTCACCTAAAACACTATTTTTTCTTCTAATTGTTTTAGAGGGCATTTTTTTTGCTGTGCCGAGTGAAAGAAACACATTTTATTTCAGTCCAACTTAACCTTAGAGGCATTAATGCTGATAATGGAACTCACATTTTTAAGTTTACAAAACTAAATATAATTGTTAACTAGGCTTATTAACTTTTGAACTTTACTTTTTAATTTTTCAATTAGCTTTTTACCTTCTTTTCTTGACTTAACTTTTTATTTTCAACTTAATTTACAGCACACTGGAAAAAATCTAAATCTAGATAAGTAATTTGTTCTTGGATTGAGGACATAAAAGAGACATTTTGCCAATTGAACAAAACAATTTACATTTAAAATAAGAAAAAAAAACATTTGCATTGTCTTATGTCAAATGCATATTTTTAATTATCTTATTTTAAGAGTAAAAATTCTCATTCCATTGGCAAATCATCTCATTTACCTACTCAACATAAGGGTAAATAAACTTAATTTAGGACATTTTTACTTATTTATAGATCGTTTTAGCAGTGCAAATAGGCCTTAGAAAAATGTATAAGAATAACAGAAAAGTGAAGAGTTTACTTAGAAAGTAAAATTTGTGGGGCTCAGGTTATCCTGAGCTATCTCTATAGTTCTGCTGCTATAGGCTTAGACTGCAGGAGGACATAGGGACCCCTTTTTCATCATTCTGCTTCATTCTATCTCTATTCTCCCACTCTGCAGAATCTGTTAGTT